TAAATAAAGATTCAACTAATGCAAAAACACAAATTGACTATTGTTTCTCTAATATGAAAGACGTAAAGTCTGATTATTTTGAAAGTCATACAAGTTTTCATAAGCCAATATGGATAAGAAAACATAAAGTTTTGAGTAAGTCTCATTTTCATGAAATCAAAAACATTCATACAAATGCAACTTCTAATATTCATGATGAAGTTATGCTTGATGACCAATTTGACCCGATGGATATCGACGACAAATTTGTTTTTGAAAGTCATGAAACAATCGATAAGAATGAACAAATTGACTTAGATATGTCCTTCCAATTAGAAGATCTCAAAGTGAATGAGCCATTTGATACGATGGAAACTGAAGAAAAATCTTTTTCCACAAACTATGAAATCATTGATTCAGACTCAAGGAAGATTCTTGATCATTTTCTCCTTCTACTTGAATTTGATAATGCTGCAGGGACTACCCAAATTTCAAGTCAAGCTCGAATAATCGATGATTTAATTGAAAAGTCGCCATTTATAACTGTGTATAACAAAGATCGATCTGTTAAAATCAGACCGAAAATAGAATATTCTGTTGAAGCATTTGATGCATTTTACGCACGAACTCATACAACTGGAGATGGAAATTGCTTGTACAGTTCTTTATCAATAATTAAAATTGGATCTGAAGAACTAACACACTCAATGAGATTATTGGCAGTCAATGCTATGATTAATAATAGTAATCATTTCAAAACCATTTGCCGTTTATTGAACTATTCATTTGAAGAACAGTTAAGGAGAACTGTCACAAACGAACAATGGGGTGGAGAAGTTCAAATTCATGCACTTTTTATAGCATTATGTCAGCCCATTTATTCTTATGTTAAATTTCTCGATGATCCAAAACGTGTACACTACATTCCATCTGATATCAGTACACAAGATTTGATTAACAGATTTGATAATGGAACTGCAGGAGGTCATCTCAAATATATTGGATATAAGTCAGATATGAATAAATCAAGTTTATGTATTCACTTTACCGGCATTCATTACGATGCTCTCTTGCCATTTTCAAATAATCCCCATCAATTCATACCAAAAAATGATATAATTGATATGAGTTTGTGAAAAAGAAAAAAAGAACTAGATTTAATTTAAAAAATAAGTTATATTTATATAAACAAGTAAAGTCTCTGGAACTAACTCCTCGTCAGGTCCTATGGGACAAAAAGAGGGCATCCGCAGGGCCTAAGGGGCAGTTCCTTAGTGCGCTCAAGGATGATTTTTTTCGAATCATCAAAACCAATCTGTCGTTAGGTTCACTTTTTGAAGTACACATAACACTCGGATTTCAATCCGAGGTTTCCGCATTTATTATATTCTGATTTTTACCTTTAATATAATTTTATGTAGATTCTCTTTTCCACAAGTATCTATGAAAATATTCACCTTGGTAAAGAAAATGCAACAAGAGCCGAGATTGAAGAAGCGGCACGTCAAGCCACTGCACACGATTTTATTATGCAATTACCCAATGTTTGCATCGAATGATGATCTATTCTAATGACATACTAAATTGTGTTTTCTATTTTCTTAGAAATATGACACAATCGTTGGTGAACGTGGTGTTCAGCTAAGTGGCGGTGAAAAGCAACGTGTGGCTTTGGCTCGTGCTCTAGTCAAACAGCCTGTCTTGCTTTTGTTGGATGAAGCAACAAGTGCTCTTGATAATGCTAATGAAAGGATCGTTCAAGAAGCACTCGATCGAGCTTGCAAAGGTTTGTACACATGTTTCTATTTCAATCATACCATCAAGATTTACACATAGGTCGGACGACTATCGTGATTGCTCATCGCCTGGCAACAATTCAAAATGCGCATCGCATTTATGTATTGGCTAATGGAGTTGTCATCGAACAAGGTACACATGAAACACTGATGTCACAAGAAAGAAGTCGATATCGTGAGATGATGCAAGCTCAACAGCTAGAAGCAGCACAGCATGATACTGATGAAATAACGGGAATCACACAAATAAAAGATGATGATAAAACAATACGTACAGAAATGTTTTTAACATAAGAATACTTCGAGCGAAACTATTTTTTTTTCAATTAGCTGAATCCTCTCGACATTGTAGCCCTAGTGAACTTGACACTGAGAATAAAGTAATTAACTTCAATGTACTGATTTTGAGGTTTTTACATGGACAATTTATTTTTAACAGGTGTCATCGACTACAACTCGTCGACCTGTTTTTGTGCGACTTTTATTTATGAGCAGTCCCGAGTGGATCATCATTCTGATCGGCTTTGCGCTCTGCCTCATTAGTGGAGCAAGTCTATCCGTCCATGTCATTCTACTTGCCAATACAACATCTGTAAGTCATTTTCGCAAACAATACGATCAGCATTGCAATAATTGATTGTTCACAGGCATTCGGAATATGTTCCTACGAAGAACGACGTCACCAAATTTTGAAAATTTCCCTTCTCTTCTTATTGACTGGTATTGTCATTTTGGTCATTCGTCTTATTCAAGTATGAATATACTTTAGAAAACGTTTAGTATTTTCTGTATTATTAGCACGCTGCATTTGCTATATCTGGCTCCAAATTGACTATGCGTATTAGTACCAAAGCTTTTGCGCACCTGCTGCGCCAAGAAATGGCCTTCTTTGATCGTCCTGAAAATAGTTCTGGAGCTATATGTAATCGTCTCTCATCCGATTCACTGGCAATTCAGGAGATAGCTGGCGCTCGTTTAGGTATAGTCATTGAGGCAGTTTTGACGTTTGGATTTGGTGTTATTCTCGGAATGTTGTTAAGTTGGCAGTTAGCACTAATTGCGTTCTCCTATGTTGCCTTTTTGTTTGCTATTGCTTTCGTGCAAATACGTTGGGGAGCACGATTGAAAAAGGTTGCTGATTGTAGTTTTGGATTAGCAAGTTCAGTAAGCCCCACAGTTCGATTATAACATCGCGAACACTAAAATATTGATACTGGTTCTTCTTTTTTTAATAGCTCGCTGTCGAGATCATTCACAACATGCGTACCGTGAAACAGTTGGCAAATGAGACAGAATTTTTGAGTAAATTCTCTCACTTATTTCTTCAAGAGTTCAAGTCAGTCTTTCAAACACTATTTTCTTAAGTCTTTCTGCCTTGTTTTCTCATAGGATTCATCGAAAAGATACAATAATAAGCGCCTTACTCTATGGCATCAATTGGGGAACGTCGTCTTTCATGTTGGTTGCTCTTATTCAACTGGCTCTGATGCTTGTTGAACGCAAAGAATTGATGATGATCAAAGTCTCCTTGTATATAAATAGAACGCTTTGAAATCTATTTTACCTACATGTTATTCTAGAATCTTTGTCTATTACTTTTTCATCCTTGAATCTCTACGATGCATCAAGACCTTGTGAGTAACCCTGTCGATCAATTTCTTTTCTTCAAGTGTTTCGGTTTAGGATGCGAGAGATGAGTGACTCATTATCAGCAGCTCGAAATTTTTTCAATTTGTTCGATCGAATATCAGTTATCGACAATAGTTCCACGGATGGTGAACAATTGGTGAGTGATTCATTTAGTAAAAGACTGAATGTTGAACATATTACTCTTATCTCATTGTTGAAATGCATCAATGGTAGAGTGATTTTCAAGGCCGAATCGAATTTGACCAAGTCAAATTTGCGTATGCATCTAGACCGACATCCTATATTCTGAATAAATTTCAATTGATCATCAAACCTGGTGAGTTTATCCTGTTTTCAGTTTATTTTCCGATTAAATCTCTCTATTTGTCAATTAGGCCAGCGTGTAGCCCTTGTAGGTATGTCGAAGTCAATTTTTGTTCATTCAAAACGATTAGATAATCTATTTCCATATGTGTATCTGAATGTGGGAAATCGACAGTCGTCCAGCTCTTGGAGCGATTCCACGATCCCATACACAGTCGAATCGTAAATATGTTTCTTTTGTACTGTCAAAATATTCGTACAAACACTCGTCTACCGGATTTTAGTGCCTCGATGGCGTTGATATTCGACAATTAAATATTCAATGGCTTCGCTCGTCTCTGGGTCTCGTTAGTCAAGAGCCTATCTTGTTCGATTTGACTATTGCTCAAAACATAGCCTATGGTAAGGAGAATGTTTCAATTGAAGATATTATCGACGCAGCTACCAAAGCCAACATTCATCATTTTATTCAGCAGTTACCTCAAGTGAGTACAGACTAGCACATAAAATTTGATTGTGTCTTTGCATTGTGACAACAGGGCTATGAGACCAGAGCGGGCATGAAAGGTTGTCACTTATCCGGTGGTGAGAAACAACGTATTGCCATTGCTCGAGTTCTTTTTCGTCAACCAAAAATATTGCTTATAGACGAAGCAACAACTGCCATGGACTCGTTCAATGAAGGGGTTTATTTTGTTATGAAGTTTGTTAATTAAATATTCATGTTTCATATATTTAGATTGTGCAAGAAGCTCTTGAAAAAGCTCAAACAGATGATCCAAGTCAAACTTCTCTAATCATTGCTCATCGTCTGTCGACTATTCGTTCATGTGATTTGATCTGCATTCTTGACAAAGGACATCTGGTAGAAAGTGGTACTCACGCAGACTTAATGGAACGACATGGAGTCTACTATCATATGATTGCTCGCAGCAGTACTTCATAAACTATCTTCGTTGTTATTTTAACAAAACTGACTAGCAATTGAATCAAACTATTCTCACGAGCTAAACGACAATACATCAGATTATATAATAACTAACAAAGATAAACTACGAAGAGTGAAAATTTTTTGGTTGCAAAGATGAAGTGAAGATTCCAGTTACAATTGTTTTCATTATAGCTCAGGGTGTGGGGTGTGAGTGTGAGTGTGAGTTTTCGATTTACTACACCCCACTCACCCTTACTAAAGTGTAGAGGGTAGAGACAGAGAAAGAAAAACTCCTGCTTATATAATTATAGATGTAATCAGTAAGTGGAACCTATTTTTGTCTATAAAAACAAGAAGTCTTTATATTGATTACAATCTCCGAGTAAATTCTTTTACGAAGTCCCTGTCAATGTTATTTCATTCTTTCAATCTTCTTCGGTAAAAATTACCTTAGACTTACATTCCGAACACCTGACCTTGTTGTGCCGATATTGATGTCACACTCCATTGATCTTCCTTTCCTCTTTCCTCTTTATTATCTCTCTCCCTTCTTTTTTTCTATGTTCATTCTCTCTGCTGCTCTCCCTATATAAACATGTGATATATGTGAAGTAGTGACATTCTGGATATGTAAAGTAGTCAAATAAATATCATTACTAAGGGTAGCGATAGGCCACCCCACCAGTCTGTCATTACACCTCACGCATTTATTGGTACACTTGATCATTGCGATCTTCTAGCAGGGCATCAGGTTTTATCGAAGCATTCTATTCCGAACATCCAGTCGATCAAACCCATTTTTCTACTTCTCCATTACGATTTCTCGTACAAAGGTATTTACGAACTACCTTCATAATTTTTTTTCAATAAAAATCAGTTTCGAACACCCGATCGCATGTCCGGAGTTTGAGAGGAGCTGAGACGAAAGCTAATTCACTCTACATGATGTATCAACAAAAAACTAAAAAAAGAACTTGTTTTGTCTTTATTACATATAAGTGTTCAATCAATCAACATTTTTGCTTCATAATTGTAGTTTTGATCAAATATCATGCTGAAATTAGAGTTTTTTTTTTCCTTAATAAACTATCAAATGAAAGAGACAAAAGTAGAAAACGTAAAAATTTTTACTTGGGAAAATTACAGAACTTTTTTTTCAATTTGGACAAGGATCCAAGGGGGAAAAAGCAGACTTCTATACTTCTTGGTACTTCTCAGTACTTCTCTCTACCTCGGCAATCATTTGAATTCTTTTTCTATTTCCAGTTGATACGAATGCTGTGGCAATTCCATCAACTTTTATTACTTCTGCTTAAATAACACTTGAAACATATGAATAATATAAAATCATACAGAACGCAAAAAAAAATAACAAACCCAATAAATCACGGCTCAATGGAAATAGAAATGTACTACACTTTTGTATTGAAACGAACAGGCCATTCCTCTGTAAACCATTTGAGCTATATAAATCTCGAGTCAGTAACATAATGACGAACAAAAAAGAAGAACAACGTACGTAAATGACTTCGAGACAATAAAAAGTGTATAAATATTAAAAAAAGTTTGTTTTACTAAAATTTAAAAACGACACATTGATAATAAAAATAAATTGCAGTGGTATAAGAATTTACGAAGATATTGAACCTTGTCGATGAGATTTTTACTTTAAAATAAAACTCAATGATAATCACAAGTAGCGCTCATCCTTTGGATTCGCTGACCCTTTTCTGAAAGAGAATTTAGTATGATTATTATTGAATATAATTTCAATTTTGATTATACTATATCTTACAGTCTTCTTGATTGCATGAAACTAGTCGAACACGGTTGGTTTTTAACGTGATGAATAAATGATCAATCACAACAATATAACTTATTTTTTTGAAAAAACTTATCAAATTTAAGGAGTTTAAGCTAGTTGTGATACAGAATATTCTCGAATTCTATCATTTTGAAAATAATCTGGGTAAAGGAACCTTAATATAGTTGAAGAATCAAAAAATAGATGTTTTGAAAAATATTAACCGCCTTTCAACACTAGATTTCTCTAGAGCGAGCACCCTTAAATGATTCGCTGGACATTTAAATGTTGGACTATCATCAGAAGCAGACCTCAAATTTCAGTTGCTTATCCTTGATTAAGTCTGATCAAGCTTATTACAGATATATGGTCATATTCAGTTGTTTGGGATGTCATATTTTCTTATTCTGAGCTCTGACTTTCCTGAATAAAACGGAGAGACAAACATTTATGGCTTTTTAAGTGGGATATGTATTGCTATATGACTGTTTCTTTAAGAAAACGAAATTAGATGCCGTTTAATTGTTTCCGTTTGTTCAGCGAGTTCAGTAGCATGACCAAGTGGTGACCATCCTAAATCAAAATAACTTGAAAAAAACATATTTTTTTCAAAATTATAGGATTCTGCACAGCTTCTCGAAATCTTTAGGACGGCACAACTACATCTACACACTAAGATAAAATGTGTCGTACTTTGCGACACAATGTACGACACATTAATATGCGACACATTTCTTTCAGCGGACGTACGACACATTCTTGTGCGACACATGCGACACATTTTTAACACGTGGTTTGAATCCATTTTTCGGCACGAGGATTATTGTTTTTTTGAAAATTCGAATAGTTACTATTTTTTCAGTTAATTTCAAATAGTAGCATCTATTCTTGGAGTTCAAGACGGTAGATCTTAAGATCTAGCTGTCTTGAGATCATTTGATCTCAATCAGACTACTTCAAGACAGTCCATTCTCGATCATCTAGCGACCTCTCGACATGTTCTCGAATAATAAATGGTCGAGAAATAATCTAGAAAAAAACGGCATACGAAAATGTGTAAGACAAGTACGTCCAATAGGCTCGGTTATATGCAGCTGCACTCGCAAAACAAAATGGTGAATGAACGGTTGACATATAGACTATGACACATCTATAATGCGACACATTTTTGTACGACACATTTTTATAATGGAGTCTGCGACACATTCCTGTACGACACATTTTATTTTAGTGTGTATTTTTGGTTACGACACAACAAGCAAATAACGCCTGCTAGCATTCACAAATCCTTTACTGGATGGACTATATTACGTCAAATGTCTAATAAGGAATTATTTTCGTTCAAGAATCAGATCATTTGACAATTTCTGAAGGTGCCTCAACTTTCACTTATTATACTTACGATAAGCCTTCTAAATCAGCGTCTAGTCGTTCATCGGCCTCTCTTCGGTCGGCCACTCACGGCTAGCCGTTTCCATATATGGTTTATTTTTCTGCCTACCATTTATCACATTAGTACTCTGATGCGCAGAAAAAATAGTTTACTCATGACGTATCGATATGTAATCAAAAATTTCCAACATTTAAATAATGTTGTGTACTTTTCGTCATAGTTTTCAACTTCTTTTTATTTTAACAAAATGATATGTTGCCGAATTTGTTTGCAAATCAGCATTAGTTAATGTTATGCTTTTATTTGTATTTAATATTAAGAACGTTCGAGTTCATTTAAGTTGAAGCATAACTAACTGTTTATTTCACCTTCACAAGTATATATATATCAACAAAATAACAATGAAAAGAAAAAGACAATCACGAACACGAAAGAGTTATAGTAAACATATATAGATGGCAGGATGTAACACCCTTACCCCCCGAGAAAAACTTTTTTGGATACAAAAATACTTTTTTTTTATGAGAAAATATAACAACAAAAATAGTAACAACAACATGAAAAAGAAGAAAAAAAACCTGACTAGAGTATAACAATATAAAATAAAATAAAATGAAAGACAAGAAAGAAAAAAAAGAAAAAATAATAACAACAAAAATGATAACAATAAAAGACTAATGTCTATACAATTTTCTATAATGAAAATAGTTTCGACTATTGAATATATCTTTGGCTAAATTGTGTTCAGCTTCAATTTGACTTTCATTATTCTTCAGCCCAATCACCAAATAATCTTTATCCATCTTGATATGCGTGAAGTGTATTTGGTATATCCGAAGAATTTTTCGCATTAAATATAATTTAAAGCGATGATAAACTTTTCTTCTGATTGTATAACGAAAACGAAATTTCCTCCGGAATTGATTGTGTTTTCGATTTTTTCAATTTCTTGATTGAGCACTTCTTTGATGCTTTGGTCGACGTTGAACTTGTTCAGGTTCATCTACAACTTGTAATGGCTCATCTTCAACTTGTTCAGGTTCTTGTTGTTGAAGTTGTTCAGTTGGTTCATCGTCATTAATAACTAATGTATAATCAATATCAATTGGTTCAATTTGATCTTGTAATAAATTAATTCTATCATTATTATTAGTATTATTCCCTAGACTGAAAGGCTAGGGTCTAGAAACCGAAATTCACCTGTGTCTGTCTGTCTGTCGGTAACGCGGTCAAAATGGCCATTTTTTTTGGCACATGTGACCATTTTTTTGGCACAAACGACCATTTTTTTTGGCACAAGTGACCATTTTTTGGCACAAACGGTCACTTTTTTGGTACAAACGACCACGTAACTATGGCACAGGTGACCATATAGCAACCATGGTACAAACAACTATTCCGGTAACTATGGCACAAATGACCATCTAAAGACTGATGTAAATGAACCCATAATAATCATCGGTAAAATGTCATTGAAATATCTATAATTCGGGTAGTGGTGTAAAACGGCTTACAAAAGCATTTTATTAGTGAGAGTCAGACCAAATGAGCAGTATGGATTCAAAGAAATCGTTTAAATTATTCATTATTGTAGGATTGATTGTGCAATGTTGTATCAATGAATATCTAATTTATTAATAGTTTAGAATTAATGCGCGAATTTAAGCATAAAATATTGATTAATAAAACTCAAATTTTATGAATAATATAATTCATATTTTTGTACGTACAAATAGCGCCAATATAATTACAAAAAAAATCGTATTCTTGTCTAATCTTATTGGGCGCTATTTATATTTATAAAAGCAAAAAAAAAATAAAACAAAAACGACAAAAAAAATTAAATTTGTAAAATGCATTATATTTACTTAGAGTGAGAATTCTCCAAATTAAGTTTTCTGGTCGCCTAAGATATACTGGTAATATTATCAATTTTGCGTATTACTTTTTTAATGTAGCTTTTTATGTTATTACATCCGTACATGTATTCTATTAGTCTAGGGCTAAGTGAATCGCTTGACGATGAACGCTACTTGTTATCTTGTTCATTTTTAAAAACATTTGGTTCAATTAATTGATTCAAATATATCTCATCATCCGATGAAATTTCTTCTGCTTCTGGATTATTACACCTAAATAATGTAGCGAATTTTTGCATGTTGATGTTCTTAATTTTTTTATTTTTTGATGTTGGTAATGGTGGAAGTTTAGTTGAATTAAATGCGACGAACATTTCACTGATCTTCCTATTTTTAATTTTTTCAAAAGTCCAATTTTTAGTGATTGGTCGTATTAAAAATGTAACAGCCATTACATCGTGTGTAGCATAATGCATCATCTTCTTTTGATCAGCATGTGATAATGATGAATGACTTGATGATAGACTTAATGACGAATGATTTAATTTACATGATTTGTCGATAAATAAATTACATCCATACATGAATGCATTTTGAAGAGACCAGAGTTCATTAATTTTGTATGGTGATGGAGGATGACAATGACATGATGATTGTTGATGATGTTGTTGTATAAATTCATTATCATCGTTCATATCATTTCGATGTAACAGACCCTGGACCCTACACTGGGTCCGAGCCCAATTACACCACGCAGGAAAATGTGGTTGAATATCAATTAAAGCTGCTGGAATTGGCCAGATAAATAATTCTTTTGCTGGTTCAAGTTCTTTTTGCATGTTTCCCCAAGAATAAATTTCGTTGCTTGACCTAAAAATTAATTGAAACAATTGATGAATATTTTCATACTTTTGTGAATTCTGATCTGGTAAGTGCTGCAACTCGAATAACATTACAAACGATGGTGGTTTAATTGGTATTGAGTTGATCTGAATTAATGATAATTGATTGTTTGTTCGTTCAGATTCTGTGTCTATCGCATACTGTTTACATGTATTCACGTGATTCAATAATTTGTTCATTGTATTTGTTGATGTTTTATTATTCACAAATATAACTTCATAATCAGACGAATGAACATGAAATGTTGGATATTTTTCACGTAATTGACTTGAACGATGTGATTTATCTGCATGATATGTTGAACCTTGTAATGGAGATCTTGAACGTTCTGAACGAGATGATGGGCGATAAGAACGAGATGGTGAACGTTTTGATGATGAACGATGAGAACGAGATAGATTTGCTATATGATGTGAATCACGAATACAAGATGAATAATTTGATTTGGGCATGAAAATGATTAGGGTGTGTGGTGTGGGTGTGGTTTTGGGTGTGGATGTGGGTGTTGGTGTGGGTGTGAGTGTGGAGTGTGGGTGTGTGGGTGTGAGTGTGGGTGTGAGTGTGGATGTGGGTGTGGGTGTTTCTTTATCTTGACATATACCCGCGCCCACAGCCACATCCACCAACAGCCATAAACACCCACAGCCACAGCCACAACCACAGTCACACGACACCCACACCGACACCCACACACACACCCACCCACACCCACACCCACACCCACACCCACCCACGCCCACACCCACATCCACACTCACACCCTTTGTATGGGAAGGTCAGAGATGGAATTATATAAATGATCTGCTCAAGCCACTGATTTGGGTTCAGGCTGACTCATGGAAGCCTTAACTCAATGAGTACCTGTAACAACCCCACCCAGTCGACATCTTTGATCCACACTGGCCGACTCCGTTTTCCGTATTAATTTCAGATATGACAGTTGTCTCAAATCAAATGGGATTTTTCTATTCGAGAACTATAGAATATTAGTCAAACAAGACCCAAAGAGAGTCTGAAGAATAGGGTTCTGAGCAAAAGTGCTTTACCAGATACGAAATTTCAAATCCAAAATAGTGTCGTCAGAAAGAACACATTCAGTAGTACATTTAGCAAAGAAATCCAGCCACTGCACTTGTAGATACTCTAGTTTTGTAAGGCTACAAGAATATGAGAGATGATATGACCCAATCGAGACGGTATTTGCCAACTATTGATAGAAAAAAATCGCATATTCAACAGATTCTTATACTTTCTGATCAAGAAACAAATTCTGCATAAAATGAACTTATTTTCCACGAAATAGAACCGTATTTTAATGAAATTTCTGGACAAAAGCTAGCTTTTAATAGTGTTACGGGGTGCTTCCGATCTTTTTTATTATCTGAGTACTCTTGATAGGGTACACAGTCAGTTGAACCCACACATTTGAGCTCTGGACGTCTAAGATTCCTAACATTTGAGCCCTGGACAGTTAAGCCTCTCCACTTTTGAGCCTTCTACAAGTAAGTCTTGTCAAGTGAGTAAACCTTCCATGTGAGCTTATTTGAAAGCTTCCGAATAAGTACTCTTGAACTGATTATAGGTGTGAGTATGTCGGTGTCGGTAAGACGTGGAGGTATGGATGGATGTTGGTGTGAAGGTTGTGGATGAGAGAAAGAAAGAACAACACCCACACCCACATCCCACACCGACATCTATACAGTGACAAAATTTTTTTCGATACTTGATGGGGACTCCAAGTGTGAAAAGTTGGGTTGTGATAAAGTAGAAAATAAAATTATGAAAAATATTGAGGGTTCAACGCTGACTTTCAAAGTAACAAAATTAGATTCAAATTTTTCGGCGCCTTCAATCCGTAATTCGATGCAACTTTTGGCGTATTAGAATGCAATTAATGTGTGATAGTAAACTAATAAATCAATAACCATCAACTACATACTTTATTTTATTTTATTTACATTACATCTTACTTGTTTAGTAAAGTTGGACATACTTCACTTTACTTTACTTTACTTTTCGGATAAAGTAAAGATAAAGTGCCACCCCTAACCAAGACTAAAACAAGATTTAAGATCAATGAATATTACTTACCACTGGAGATATACCAGTTTGATTATGGGGCCTGTTCTCTACTTGTTAAAATCACAAAGTGCTCGTAGTCATCTTACTTAAGAGGGAACCTCACATATGTCTCATCCAATTTCAATGATTATTTACCTATAGATACTATGTACATAGGAAAAATTCAATGGCTCCGCTAAATATCAATAAGAACTTAAATTCTTTAGGGATTTTCATTAGAATAAAATGTAACATCTATAGTGAAAACACATTGAATACGGGGACAGACAAGAGAGGTGGTGCCTTCTACAGTAAAAAAAAATATAGATACTTTATGTAATAGTTTTTGAAGCTTTCACTATATTGTTGTAAAGAAATATCGAAATCAAATCAGTTCTTCATCTTGATCTCATCTACACTCTCGCTTTCATTATTTTGCCATTATAAAAAAGACAAAGGTTTTCTTTTGTAGAATTACAAAACCATTTTGAAGGGTATGAGTGTGCGACAAACGAAGAACAACATTTTACCTCAGGCCGACCCTTACCCATATGCACCCACACTCACACTCGAACTACTGCTTGTTATAATGAAGATGCTATCAACTATGAACATGATCGTTACTTATTCAACGACATCTGTGAAATATTATTTGATAATTTTGTAAACTTCCAGAACAAAAAAAAAATTAAAAGAAAAGTTTTATTTCCCTTCAACACATCGGGTGGCAACATTCAATATTCCTGAGACAGTGTGAAGTTTCCAGCGCCCTCTGAAGTACATAGTTTCCTATTGATTCGATGAATTACTTGTCTCAATCATTGTCAGTTACTTATCCAATCTTTTTTGGGTAATAATAAAAGCCAAAAATGAAACCAAAAACCGAAAACATTGTGATTGATAATTTACGATTCAAATATGATTCATATCGATGATAACCAATAATATTTTTTTGGTTTGTTTCGGCCTTTCATTAGCATTCGTTTTTTTCTGTTTTATTCCTCCGTCTTCCTTATTTATCATAGTGTACTGTGCGTCATTATTATGATAATGGATTTCTTCTACCGTTGTCTAGAACGAACTAGAGCTGATTCATTCTCACGAGACATACAAAACAAAAGTAGCAGTATTCCTCACAATACTTTATTCATTCTTGTTAAGCATATATTTATTTCTTTTTTTTGTCTACTTACGATTGCACAATATCCATGCAAATCTTTGTTAAAACTCTTACTGGAAAAACTATCACACTTGAAGTTGAACCAAGTGATGCTATCGAAAATGTAAAAGCAAAAATTCAAGATAAAGAAAGTATTCCACCTGATCAACAACGACTCATATTTGCTGGAAAACAACTTGAAGATGATCATACATTGAGCGATTATAATATTCAGAAAGAAAGTACACTTCATCTTGTTCTTGGATTACGCGGTGGTATGCAAATATTTGTGAAAACACTCACCGGCAAAACAATGACGTTCGAAGTTGAACCAAATGACACTATCGAAAAGCTTAAAATGAAAATCGACGATAAACTAGATATTCCATCGGATCAACAAACACTCGTATTTATCGGAAAACGACTCGAATCTCACCGAACATTTAGTGATTATGACATTCAAAAGGAAAGTACACTTCACCTTATTGCTCGGCTTCCAGGTGGTGATAATTAATAAAAAGTTTTTTTGCGGTATCCAAGTCGTTAAATTCTATTGAATCTTTTTCTTTTTGTTATTTCAAACTAGGGTGGGTATAGAGTGTGGATGTGAGGCATGAGTGTTATTCTCAACTACCCACATCCTAAAGAAAACGATTTTCTTCAGACACCGTTAAATTTTAGGCAAGTAATACAGTATGTTAAATATGTCGCAAGTTGTTTTTGAAATATATATATTGAAAATTATATAACTCATCTATTCACACTTCGAAGCAAGAATTCAACGAAAGGCTGACTTAAAAATATTTCAGTCTATTCTATTGTCTCTCATCGTGTCGTTCTAAAGGACGAACAGCCCATACCACCATTCGCATCATCTCAACAGATTCTTCATTTTCGGTTGATCCTATTGATTTGGTCTCATGCATTTATTTCCTCCTGAAGCCAATACCTAATCCATCTGATTTGTTTTTGTTTTAATGTTGATGATATACTTTCAAAATGTGTTTTCGTTATGTTTTTAAGAATGACTGTACGAGAACCATACAGACGGAGCTTAATCGGTAATTTCAGATGTCAATGAAATTTCCTGCATATGGTAGAGCTAATTTATTTTAGAAATGTAGTGAAATTGGAAGACCTAACGAATTAGTTTTGGCTGAGACATGATGACCCGACTAGTAACACCTGAAGTAGGCTTTTATCAATTTGGGGTGTGGGTGTGGGTGAGGGTGAGTGTGGGTGTCGGGTGGGTGGTGTGGGTGTGGATGTGAGTGTTGAAAAGAAGACCCACACCCACACCAACACCCACACCCACCACACAAACACCCACACGACACCCACATCCGCACCCAACACCCACACCCACACCACACACCCATATCCACACACACCCACACCCACACCCACGCAACACACCCACACCCACACCCACACCACACAGCCACATCCACATCCACATCCACAGCCACACCCACCCACACTCGTCCAAAATACTTACTCTTCAAATCTCATGAACAGATCTATGAACTGCGAGCTCAAAGAAGGCTTCTTAGAACAAGCACTACGTAAGGGTTATAGCATGATTTTGATAGAAGATACTCACTATTTTTAGATTTTCAGATTTTGGCAGAGTATCTTATTTAGTCACTAAGATTCTCTTGTAGGATCCTAATACAATGGCCTGACGTTGGTTTTCATCAAAATTTAATAATAGCATTTTAGAACACTTTCTGGCTATCCCATTACCATCGCTGTTTCCAAAGCCCATAAAATCCATAGATTCCAATGTTTTTCACTGGAAAGCTGCATTAGGATTTGCATCCATCTTTTCAGCATTTCAAAAGTAGAAGACATCAGATTACATAGATCCGTGTGGAACCCTCTCAACTTTGCTCAATTTTGCATGCATCCAAACCTTCTGATGGCCCTACTAAAATCCTATCAAAGTCATCCTTCGAACAGCTTGACGTAAGTTGCCAAAAGTCTTATAAAATTCCACTGACATCCTCTATACAAATGTTTAGGAGATTCCTCAGCAGATCTATATTCATCATTCAGAAAATCATGTGATCAGATACTTTGTCCTATGACATGAGAAGCATCTTCAAAGATTCATACTGAATCCTCAAGGTTTCTCAAAAACATACGGATTAGGTTTGACATTTGCTGTTCAATGATTCAATATTCTTCTCACAAGATGCAGATAGAATCTTCTCTGATATTCATATACATGATCATTCTGCAAAAAAATTCTGAATTCTCGCAATTTCGAATAAAATCTTCAGATCCCTATGTTTTTCTATAGAAAGCTTCCATCGAATTAGCATTGCTCTTTCTTCGAGGATCTCCTTACAGTAATCTCCAGGTGTATTTTTTTATGTTAAAAAAATCTTGGTAAAAACTAAAAGTGACATAGATGTAAGAATCGTTACGAAATTCTTTTTTTTCATAAGAAACTAGGAAAAGGTTTCTGAATTTTTATCTGAGGAAAGAACACTCTCAATTGTTTTACCTAAGTCATTTCGAAGAAGACGAATGTCTCCTTCATAGCTCTTTTCTACACAAGAGAGAGGGGGATCTCTTTGAGAACAACGATTCCTTTTGTTTTTCGTTCATTGTAGTAATTCCTAATATTCCATCCAATGCTCGATGGGCACAGAATGGGGTGACCGTTGCTGGAAGTAATGAAGAAGGCGGTGCTACCAATCGACTCCGGTTGCCCGATGGTCTCTTTGTTGATGATGATCAAACGATGATCGTCGCTGACGTTTGGAATCATCGTATCATCTAATGGAAGATGGGTGATACGAATGGACAAGTAGTAGCTGGTGGCAATGGGTGAGGAAATCGATTGGATCCCTTGAATGAACCAAGTGATGTGTTGATCGACAAAGAGACGGATAATCTCATTATTTGTGATTTGGGGAATGACCGAGTCGTACGATGGTCTCGTCGTAGTGGAACAACTCAAGGAGAAATTCTCCTCGACAACATCGATTGTTTTGGATTAGCCATGGATGATCAGAGATATCTCTACATATCTGACACCAAAAAACATGAAGTAAGACGATATCAAATAGGGGACAAGAAAGGAAATATCGTGGCTGGTGGCAATGGCAAAGGTGATGGTTTCAATCAACTCAACGCTTCGACCTACGTCTTTGTCGATCGACAACAGACTGTTTACGTGTCAGACCGTGACAATCATCGTGTGATGAAATGAAACAAAGATGCACAAGAAGCAGAGTATCTTATTCATTCCTGGATTATTTTCAATTGGACAAATTCGATTCAGTATTGAATAAACAGATATATTTAAATGATTGAAGAGTTTGCTACTGAATAGGACTGATAAATAATATAATTTACCTTTTTAGTTTTTTGTTTTGTTAAAAGTATGCCCCATAAGTATGTTAAACACTTGTTCAATAGCAAAGCAAGCATTAAGGCAATCGGCCATATTCAGTAAAATTCAAAATAAAAAATTCATCAATATACAATGAATTTGTACAATCCATAATTGAACAAGAATTTCACTTTGAAGTAATAAAAGTAAAAGAAATTTCAATAAAAATATAAACATAATTAATAAACAGATTATTGATGATTAAAAATGATAAATTTGCCAACCAGTTTGATATGAATTTTTTCTTCGAAAAGTTATTATTGATAAAATAACACAGAGAAAAAATATTCATCACTGAAACCATACTTGTTTTAACAGGTTTTGATTGATGAGACAATCTAATATCAGCTTAAATATGATAACTTAATATAATATATAATGAAAAGCTACAAACTTTTGTTGAAAATTGGCATCAACTACTATAAAAACAATCTAGACATGCGCAGATACTTGTTGCTGGACAGTGAGAACCATCTTGAAAACATTAGCTATTATTTAAGCAATAATTAGGGCGTGAGTGTCAGTGATTGTTATGGTTTTGATCTTCTCTTAACCTACATCTCATATTCACAATCTCTTTTAAAATATAATAAGTCTTATTGACATTGAAATGACTTTGTATTATAAAAGCTATATGAAATGAAATGATCAGATTAATAATATTTTCATAGTGTGGATGTGGGTATAGGCTAAAAGAAGGTTCACACCCACATTCCGATCACAATTATAGACGGATTTTCAAAAAATTTATAATTATAGTTGGATTGGAATATGGAAAATAAAGATGAAGTCGAAGTGAAGATTTGAGCAAATATACATGACGACTGGAGTGGCACATATGCAAAATTGTCCATCGTTATCTCTCTAT